TACAGAAGATTCTCAAAAAGTATGGCATGTCAAATTCAAAGCCTGTTGTGACTCCGACAAACCCTGAATTCAAGCTCAGTATAGATCAGTGTCCCAACACTAATGTCGAAAGATCTTATATGAATAGCATTCTATATGCTAATATAGTGGGTTCCTTGATGTGTGTTATGGTATGTACTAGACCCGACATATCATATGCCATAAGTCTTATAAGCAGGTATATGGAAAATCCTGGAAAGGCTCACTGGAAAGTATTGAAGTGGATTCTAAGGTACATAAATGGGTCTCTGAATAGAGTCCTAATTTATAGTGGAGCCTTGGGTGAAGATAGTAAAGCAGAAATCGAAGGATATGTCGACTTTGATTATGCAGGTTGTATGGATTCCAGAAAATCTATTTCTAGATATGTGTTCACTATGTTTGGGACAACAATCACTTGGAAAGCAACATGTCAGAAGGTTATTTTCTTATTAACCACTGAAGCGGAATATATCGCCCTAACTAAAGTTGTGAAGGAAGCAATATGACTTGAAGGTTTTGCAAAGGAGCTGAAACTTCAAGGTCGAGTTATCACTATTAAATGTGATAGTCAAAGTGCAATACAGCTGTCGAAGAATTTAGCCTATCATGAGTGAACCAAGCACATTGATGTGAGGCTACATTTTGTTAGAGGGGTAATCGAGCGTGGAGAAGTTCAAGTGCTGAAGGTTTCAACATATCATAATGCTGCTGATATGATCACCAAGACGTTGCCCAATTGCAAGTTTTTCCACTGTATGCAGTTGATAAAGCTGCATAAAGAAAGCTAGTTTCTTGATGTTATAGTTAGATCCAAGGTGGAGATTTGTGAGATATTGGACCAAACTCTAGTATGATCGAAGTTTGTTCGCGAGTAATGTATGTCGTAGTCGAAGTTTATTCTAACATGCATTAGTCAATATTGCTAGGTTTGTTAGCATGTTGAATTGGGCCTTGCTTGTAAGCCCAATTGTTTAAATTAGCTTGTAAGCCCAATTGTTTAAATTAGCTTGTACCATAAGTTAGCTTGTAATGAGTAATTTTTAAAAAGCCCATTAGGTTAGTGTGTTAATTTTCTTATAGATAGCATGTTAGTCTCTCAACTTGTATAAGGAAAAATAGGAAGATAAAATCTTAATTCAAGAGAGGGAGGTTATTTGTTATTCTTGTATACTTGTAATCTTGTTTGATAGAGAAATGAAAGAATAACAGTCTATAATCAATCCTTGTTGTTTCTTGTTGTTTTCTTTGTTAACCTAACCCTTGTATGTTTCTTGTCTATAAAAAAACCGTTTATATTTTATTTCAAGACATCCTATTCACAACAGTTATGATATTGTAATAATAGTGAATTTAGTTATGTTAGTTTGCGTATAAATAGGTCTTTGATGCTTTTGAAATGTATCAAAAAATAATTAGTGAATGAACTTTGGAGTTTGGAACTGAATCAAAGAGTGCTCTTTATCTTTTCTTATCACTTTAAATTTATATTTCTCTTACATGACCCTTGGCCTTGGCTCAAAACTCCTCTTACATGGACTATAACCACTCTGGGATGACAATACTTTGAGAAAGTTCAATAAATCTATTAAGGAATTTCTTAACAAAACATACCACATATTCATATTGCTTCTTTCCCTTATTTTTCAACTTTAGAAGGAAGCATTTGCCAAAGGTAACTTCAACTTTGGCGTTAGGCCTAATGCTTCTACGACCCTCTTGACCCTATGGGTCCGATTTATGGGGGATGATTACAATTTTCTTTCTCTTAATGGGCTAGTTGGAATGGTTCCTAGCACTTACAGAGTCCTTCTAATACAAAATAATTGTGAATAGACAACAAAAATGATAAGTTGTTCCCACAAACAACGTCAATGTTTCGATACATGACTTAGTTCATAACGGTGATGGAAGACCTATGGAGGATAATGGCAGTACTTTGTAGCACTCCCCGTCATAAGAATCTATTAGAGGAGTTCATGTCGTCGATCCTATGTAAGTCGATTCTCCATATATTGGGCTTAGGTCTAGACCTACTTATTTCCTAGAGAAAACTTTCTCCTATACCCATACCCCTACTCTTTATAAAATATTCCAAATTTACCCTTATTTAATTTTAATTAATTTTTTTTTACTATTCACTAAAGTTTTCGAAAAATTTAAAGGAGTTTGTACCCCACAAATTTGTACCGTATAACTACATACCTGAATTCCGGTATTTTTTCTTTGTCTTTCGTATATCAACTTGTAGCAACTGTCTTTTGTAATATATTTTGGTAAAGAAAAAACCAAAAATAAAAAAAATTAAATTAACAAAAATCAAACCGGATCTTTTAATGAAAGAATTTTGGTAATTAAAAAAATCTCATCCGAAACACTTGCAGAATTGTTTTCCTATGACCTAGATAACATAAATAAAGAGTTCTAGTGTTTTCTTTGCATTAAGAAAATCTCATCTGGAACACTTGCAGAATTTTGGTAATTAAGAATATTGAACATGTGTATGTGTAATTTATTGTTGCCGACTTAATTTCAACATTATTTAGTGCCTAAGATAGCATTGGTTTGTATTAATAATTTGTCTGAATCCCTCCCTGTCAGGTACATCTCCTTTGTAGAAGCCCCAATTGACAGCATAGCATGGCATAAAATATTGTCTCGAACCGAAATGGACCCCATCTCAAAACCCTATAGCTCAAAATTCTGTGGCTCAAGACAATTAAAGGCGTTGATGGGCCTTATAATTACCCTAAACGACGTTCTATGTTCAAATATTCCCCTACAAGGATCCTTGAAAATTGAATTAAATAAAAATAGACAAGTTCCATGATGATGAATTAATGGTTAAGTAACATGACATTGGAAACATAGATATACATAGGACATTCCCTATACTTATGTCTGTGAATGTGAGGTCCCATTGCTTCGTTGAGATTGGAAATCATGGTGATGGTCATGTTCAAGCAGGCCTCAACATGGGACAACCTGTTTTGCTCTTGCAAATCATTTAAGTAATTCATGCTTTGTACTTTTATGTGTTTTTTACTCCACCTTTCTTTCCTTTTACTCATTTTTTCTTGCCTCTCTGCTTTCCACTCAATTTTTTTATTATATATATCACTCTATTCATACTCAATTTCCAATTTTATTTTGCATCACTAATCAACACTCAAAACTGTTTCCATCCTTATAATGATTCAGATGATTTCACGAAATACCACAAATTTTATATGTTTTTTACTCTAATAATTCCGTAAGTGAAATTTATATTTTGAAAATAATAAATGAGATCTTTTCACTTCGATAACTCTGCATACACAATTAACTGAACTAAAAAAGTTATATTAACGGGATTATAATTTTTACTACAATTTTTTTATGTCTTCTACTATTAGAGTTAAGTATATAACACATGTTTAATATTTGTATTTATTTTATTTGAAATTTTAATTTTGGTTTTTTCATATTGAAAAAATAAAATCTCATATCAGAACCGGTTTATTTTGTTTTTTTTTTAAAAATAAGTTTTATAATATTAAATGATTATGAAAAAGAATTTACAAAATATTTTTTATAAAATTTTTAAATAAAAATTTGTTTTGAATATTTATTTATAAAATATTATTTTAAAGCTTTTTATCAATTTATTGAAAATATTTTAAATATCAAAATTTCAAAAATTACTTAATTTTAAAGAATTTTAAAATAATTTTTATATAATAAAAATTATTTTTGAAAATACAGTAATTTCAACCATACTTTAATTTTCAGTATATTTATATATTTATATTATAGAATATAATAATTAATTTTTCAACGAGAAAAGAATGGTGCATTGATAGTGTAAATTATTTTCACATTATTAACTAAAAACAACCATATATTCCGTTAATTCAGCCTTTAAATTTTAAATTACTTATATAATTTAATATTTTAAAATATTATAGATGTATGTGTAATATGTTTTTAAATTGACAATACACTACCATTGAACTCTTTTTCAATTTAAAGAAAATAAAAATCTATAATATTTTATAAAACAGTTTTATAAAATCTATTTTAAAAAATTAAAAAACAAATCCATTTCTTTTAAAGTTGAAGCAAACATGCCCTCAATTTACTTTTTTTTTCCTTCACATTTAAAAAAAAAATTGATATTCTATAATTATCATTGATAAAACTAATAAGTAAAAAATAAATAAAAAATATTTAATATTATAAGTTTAAATTTATTTTACCTAGTTTTTGATTTCTCTAACAATTCAAAACCCGTTTGTCTCATTTATGTCTCATTTAAGTTATTTCTTACAGTTTTACACGGAATTTGATTACTACATTTTTACATAAAATGTCATTAACTAATGAGTATTAAATTCTTGTTAATGCGTCCTAGTAAATTACGAATTCAAATTTTCAATGCATATTAAAATAAGATAATTAATGTTGCCACCTTCTTTCAGCTTAAATATAAGTAAAAGAAAAATCATTAAAACTTTTGAATCTCAAATATAAGCAAAAACCCTCCTACATTAAAATAGGGGAAGACCAGTAATTATTTCTTTTTTTCCAAAAAATAAAATAAATAAAATATTTTAAATATTATTTTTATAAAAATTAATGTAATTATTTTTCCTTATGATCGAGCCAAAAGAAAATATTTAATTTAGTTACTTTAATATATTTTAAAAATTAAAAATTTATTTATTTAATTATTACTAATGAGAAGACACCTAATTAATAGGCCTGAATAAATGAATTAATGAATACAGACCAAAAAACTTAAGGAGCGTGGAATAATAAAGGGAATCAAAAAATATTAATTTCCCCCCAAACAATTCCAAAACTAATAATTAAAAAAAAAACAATATAAAATAAAAAAATAAAACCTCTGAGAGAGGAAAGTTTCACTTTTACAAAGAAACATAATCGAGAAGAAGAAGAAGAAGGAATGTGAAGCGACACAGTGAACAAAACTGAGAAAAATGGGTGGAGTGACGTCATCAATGGCGGCGAAATTGGCGTTCTTTCCGCCGAATCCACCGTCGTACAGGCTAGTGAAAGAGGAAGTAACGGACTTGTTGTTGATGGAACCGTTCCCGCACCGTGAAAACGTTGAAGTTCTGCAGTTTCGGAATCGGCGTGGAACGGAGATCGTGGCTATGTATGTTCGTCATCCAATGGCGAAATCGACGGTGCTTTATTCGCATGGAAATGCTGCTGATATTGGTCAGATGTATGAGCTTTTCGTTGAGCTCAGTATTCACTTGCGTGTTAATCTCATTGGGTATTTCAATTTTCCCCCTTTTTTGAATTATTGTTTTTAATTTGAATTTGAATTTGAATTTCAGTTATGAATTTTTGTTTTTTTTGTTTATTTATTTGTTAATTGGATTTGTTTCTGTAGCTGAATTGGTTTTTTTTGGTGATTTTTGGTTGAATTTGTTTTTATTTGCGTGTATTTTTGTGAAATTGTGTCCGAGTTCAGTGGTGTTGTGTTGAGTTGACTCGGTCCTAGTTATTTGTTAGGATAAAGAAGATTGATTGTATTGTTTAGATTTGATTTTTGTTGGTTTTGATGTTGATGGATTTATTGGGGTAAATAATTTACTGGTTTTGTTAGGTTTGATTTAGTCAAAGATGGGGACTGTTTTGTCTTCACTGGTTTATGATCGGAAGGATGAGTCATGTATTTTATTTTCTGTGGTTCTTGTGTGGTTAGAGGATAATGATTTGATGGTGATAGTGTGATGTTCAATTGTTTTCGTTTTTTTTCCGATGTGTTTAATCGAATTTGGTGATTGTGATGTTGGAGTTTAGCTGGCAATCTGAAAAATTTACTCCATGGATATGAAATGGCAATCTACATGTTAAAATTTCGGTTTAAAAGAAAATAAAACCTATCTGAAAGTGCAATCAGAAGAAAAGGGGTCAAGTTGTGTTGCACTGAAACTGAAACTGACCCGTTTTCTTTTTGTTCTCACTTTCAAATAGGTCTTTGATTTTTGAAAATGTGAGTTAAGTACAATATATGTAGTACGAAATCAGGAGGACAATTAAAGAGCATAAAGTTGGTAATTAGATGCCAAGTTTATTTCAGAAGTTGATATGTGAAATCTTTTAGGCTCAATTGCATGTTTTTCGTCCCGCAGGAAGTTTATATGGTTCTTTGTCTCCAGTGTGACCAAACTTGTGTTTTAGCCTTAATATGTGCTGATATTTGTGCTGCTAGGGGTAATATTTAAATTGGACAGTATAGTTGAATTTACCCACACACTTGTATTGTATTCATTTCCCTGATTTGTGATTGGTCACATTCGATTTAGGGGCCAGATTAGTCAATAACAGAAGAAATTGTAAACGTTGTTTCATTAAGAAATTGTGCTCTGATATGTTAATGGTGTTTTTTCTATGTATGCAGATATGATTACTCTGGCTATGGACAGTCATCCGGGAAGGTAACACCCTTATATGCTTCTTTCTGGTTTATTTAATTCTTTTGTTCACAACAAGCAGAAGCATAATGAAAAACGGATATTTTTCACAGCCAAGTGAGACTAATACTTATGCTGACATCGAGGCTGTATATAAGTATCTTGAAGAGAACTATGGTGCTAAGCAGGAAGACATAATCCTTTATGGCCAATCCGTTGGGAGTGGTCCTACTTTGGACATTGCTGCTCGTTTACCCCAATTGAGGGCTGTTATTCTCCATAGTCCTATATTGTCAGGGTTGAGAGTGATGTACCCTGTGAAAAAGACATACTGGTTTGACATTTATAAGGTTAGACTTTTCATTATCCTATATGTTTAATGTCCTTTGGTTTGAGAATCGTGTATATGAGCTATTATGTAACTTAACTTTATCCTATGTTGTCGGTGTGTAGAACATTGATAAAATTCCGCTGGTGAAGTGTCCCGTCCTAGTAATTCATGTACGTATTCTATCTTTGTTGTGTTGGATTTTTCACTAGCTAATATTGTGTCACCATAATTTCGGTAGTTGGTGTCGCTATAGTTAACAATTTCTATAATGGCTGTGATTCATATCATAAGAAATCTGTTGATTGTGGCTGGTTTTAAGGCACGAAAGTTGAAGAGCCTTTGTTGCTGATTAAATTTTCGTAAATGCATTCTTGTGAATATTGTAACCTATCATGTATTGTTTTTTCTCATGTTATTTTTTGGTACTGAGCTTTTTGTTCTACGTTTACTAATTTGGCATAATTTTTATACTTTATTCAGGGAACTGCTGATGAGGTTGTTGATTGTTCTCACGGTAAGCGTTTATGGGAGCTATGCCAACAGAAATACGAACCCTTATGGCTTAAAGACGGAAATCACTGTAATTTGGAGCTCTATCCAGAATACCTTAGACATCTCCGACGATTCATATCAACTGTAGAAAAGTCACCACCCCAAAGACTGAGTTTTAGGAGAAGTGTGGATAAGGTAGAACAATCCAGAGGAAGTACTGATTTTTCGGAAAAGCCAAGGAAAAGCATGGAAAAGCCAAGAAAGAGCACAGATTGCAGAGACAAACCTCCAAAAAGCACTGATCGGACAGAAAAACAGAAATATCATGAATTCAAATTCAAAAACTCTGATAAATTAGATAAGTTAAAGGTCCAATTTGACCAGACAGAGAGGTCGACAGAGAGATCGAGAAGAAGCGTAGAGTACAACAACGACAAATCTAGAAGCATTGAGTTCCAAGAGAAATCCAGAAGAAGTGTTGATGTTCAGTTTGAAAGGCCGAGGAAGAGTATTGATTGGCTGGATAAAATTCGAGCGACTTGAACCTTTTGAAGCTTCTGCAATAGTGGAACTGGATTTGCTTGGCGGGGAGGGGGAAAAGTACAAAGATACGGACACGGTTACTTACACTGGGTGTTTAATTTAACTTATGGTTTGCAGAATATGCATATGTTGCTATTTCACTTGTATACTTCCATTGTATTTTTACATTTGGATATGTTGGGTTGGGGATTCGATTCCTTTATTATTATTATTATTATCAATTTCAATTTATGTGACTCTAACCTTGTTTTCTTTTCATAGTTCCACTGCGTTGTAACATTTGATTTGGATATGTTGGGGAGCTCTATATTCTTAGTTTTTCATTGTTATTTTTTATTTTCAATTGATGTGACTCTAACCTTGTTTTAGTTATAACTATTTACTGTACATGTTAATTTTATTTTTTAAATGTTATAATGGGAGTTTCTTGCCTATATAAATATGTAATTTAATCAAAGCCGAAAGAAATTAACTACAAAAACATTTATTGGTTTGAACTTGATTAATAGATTCAACAATATTGAACAATATTGTATCTTGGATTAAAAGACAGTTGCAGTGATGAAAAATTTTCAAATGAAAGTTCTGTCTGTACTTTTGATATTGATGAATATAATATCGTTTTTAGGCCAAATATATTTCTTGTGTTTGGATCAGAAGATGGACATTGTTCAACTAATAAAGGTCCTCAAGGAGAGTCTCTTAATCTTATTTTAATTTAAATTGTTTTACATAATGTACAATATAGGAGCATACTTCAATATTGGACTTCCATTTTATGAATGTCAAGAATGTTAAGCTAAAAAGGGGTATCAAGAAAGGATTGAAAATCTAAACACTCATTAATTCCAAATTTCCAACTTTGTTGTGGTAATGGTAAGGTCACAATACCATTACGAAAAGATCCATCACAGTTTCTTCAACATCTTCATTTAACAATGAATCAATTGACAGCAAAAAGTATTAGTGTAGGCTAAGTTTATACAATGCAATGTTTGACGAAAAATTATCTAAAGGAAGAGGAAAAATTATCTGAAGGGAGAGGAATTTCACTTGAAGACAAATTTCTCAACAGATTTTTCTTTCATAAAAAATTTATGGAAGTCAATATCTATAATATCTAATATTCTCTTAAATACTTTATTCTTTATTTTTTAGGATAAAATAAGTTTCTAAATGTTCTATTTTTTTTTTGTCAGTTATGACAAATTGAGTAATTACTGAACTCAAATGAAATTAATTGTAACTCTATTTGCTTGATCCTTACTAAGTAGTAAGAGAGAATAATTTGATAATTTTGATAAATAGCATTTTGAAAATGAGAGAACCACAAGGGAAAAATGGTCAATTGGCTGCTAGAGGACAAAACACCATTCTACATATCATTTCCTATTCTCTTATAACATACATTTTTTTTTTATTTACATATCATTTCCTATTCTCTTATAACATACAATTTTTTTTATTTTGTTAGTAAGAGAAGAGAAAAGTGAAAACACTAATATAAATACTATATTTTATGATAAAACTTTTAATTTTTGAAAAAATCAAGGTCAAATGTTCTGGTTTGCGCTATATATATATATATATATATATATATATATATATATATATATATATATATATATATATATATATATATATATATATATATATATATATATATATATATATATATATATATATATATATATATATATATATATATATATATATATATATATATATATATATATATATATATATATATATATATATATATATATTTAACTTTATCTTTCACCTCAGTCTTTTAAAAAAATCGATGTAAAATGTTGTTCAATGTTTGAATTTCGATTCTCAGCTCCTACAATTTTATGTTTTATTTACAATTAAAATGACGCCTTTATTTTTTATACATTTTGCGTCGGATATTATCCCTCGGTTATTGAAGAAAACCGATATAAAAACTCTAAAAGAATAATTTTTATTCCTTTAGAATTATAATGTTTTGTCTCATTCACTTTTTGCGTCCTAACGAACGAAAGGAGCCCATTCTTTTCCAACGAATGAATGACTTTTCCAAGACTCAGAACCACCACCCTTCTTCTTCGAGGAGGAAGTAAGCTCAAATTCTTCCCTCGTCGTTGATGTTGTTGTTGTTATGATTTTTGAGTCTTATATTGCTTACTATAATGTTGTTATGGTATTTTTTGTTGTTTTGATATTTATTGTTGGTTGTGTACTATTTTTATTTTATTTTTAAAAGTTGTATGTGATTATGGATCTAGTTGGACGAAAGCCAATAGATTAAATAAAAAGTATGAGAATGAAGTGATTTAATTTCTTGATTTTGCAAGGGGGAAAAACCTTCCTAAGAAGAAGGAGATTTTTTGGTGTCCTTGTAATATTTGCCGAAATATGCACAAACATCCAAAGGATGAAATATTTGTAAGTTAGAAGTGTGCCTAAGAGGTGGGGGGGGGGGGGGGGGGGGGGGGGGGGAGGGGTGTTGTGAATTAGGACTTTTAAAATTTTATCTGGTTTTTATGAATCTATGTTCTATCTTTTCTAGTTAGGCGATGAAAACGGTAAAGTGCGAAAAAGTAAAGAACACCGAGAGTTATCCTGATTCCCCTCACAATTGGAGAGTACTCCAGTCCCCTTACCACATGTAAGAGATTTTATTATTGTTAGATCTCCCTAAACAAGATTCTAACCAAGTTATCAAGAACAATCATCTTGAAACTTGTTCACCAAGAAAAGAAAACAATCATCCCTTTTCTTATAACCTTATCTCCAACAATCATGTATGATAAGTAACTACACCTAATATCAAACAATCCATGATACTTAGGAATTTACAACAAAACAATGTATATAGAAGTATATGAAATTTTGTAGAATTATTTAAGACTTATTCTAAAAGAACAAATCCTTATTCTCTTTCAAGTATGAAGATTCAAGAACACATTCTCTCTAAGTGATCAAGATACTTTTATGATAATGATGTGAAAATGTATTTCAAAAAGTATCTAAGTATGAAAGATGTGATGAAAAATGTGCAGAGACATTTGAAGATTTTTATTGAAAAAAATGAGTGAAAATGAAACTTTGAAATAAATTTATAGTGATGGAAGCAACCACTCAAAAGTGATGGCAATGTTTTGAGAAATTCAGAAATTTATTAGAGGTATGATGTAAGAGATGTTGTTCTGGACTGGGCCGACGCTTGGCCCATAGTCGAGCAGGCCTAAACCTCACCAGGTTGGAAGGCCCAATAAGACCTCATCGTCGGGCAGAGACATGTCGGGCAGGACATCTTCTCCTGTCGAGCACGAACCAACGGCAGTCGAGCAGGCTCCTCATAGCTGTTTGACTCGCCCTTCTTCTGCCCCACGATCGATGTGACTAATGCACCATGTGTATTTATGAAGTATATGAACTGGATTTTCCATCCTTATTTGAGCAAGTTTGTCGTTGTGTTAATTGACGATATTTTGATATATTCGAAGAGTAAAGAGGATCGTACTGAGCATTTGAAAAATTGTGTTATCAACGTTGAAAGAGAAGCAGTTGTATGCAAAATTGTCAAAGTGTGAGTTTGGTTGAAGGAAGTGAGTTTCCTTGGTCATGTGATCTCGAGTAGAGTTATTGCGGTCGATATGTCGAAGGTTGAAGCTGTATCACAATGGGAAGCTCCAAAACTTGTTTTTGAGATTAGATGTTTTCTTGGGTTGGCAGATTATTATTGAAAATTCATTGAAGGATTTTTCCAAGTTATCTTTGCCATTGACGTAGTGGACTAGGAAGGTTCAAGCTTTTGTTTTGGATGCAAAGTATGAAGAAAGTTTCAAGGGCTTTTGAGAAGGCTGTCAACAACTCATGTTTTTATTTTGCCGAATCCGACAGGACCATTTATTGTATATTGTGATGCTCCGCTGATGGGATTGGGAGGTGTGTTAATACAACATCAACAAGTTTTAGCTTATGCTTCAAGGCAACTTAAAGTTCATAAGAGGAATTATCTAACGCATGATTTAGAGTTGGTTACTATTGTGTTTGTGTCGAAGCTTTGAGGGCATTATTTGTTTGGTTAGAAATTGAGATGTTTAGTGATCATAAGAGTTTAAAGTATTTGGTTGATTAGAAAGATTTGAATATAAGGCAGAGGAGATGATTGGGACTTTTGAAGGATTATGGTTTTGGTTTGAATTACCATTCAGATAAAGCAAACGTGGTAGCTGATGCATCGATTTGGAAATCTCCGCATATATCGATGATGATGGTAAAAGAGTTAGAACTGATTGAACAATTTCGTGATATGAGTTTGGTTTATGAAGAGACTTCTTATGGAGTTAAGCTTTGTATGTTGGGGCTTACTAGTGGTATTCTTGATGAGATTCGAGAAGGTCAAAAATCTGATTTGAGTTGGTAGGTCGGTTGAATTTGATGAATCAAAGTCGAAGAGCTGATTTTCGGATTAATGGGAATGGTATCATGAGACGTAGTGATAGAGTTTGCATTTTAGATATTGTTGAGTTGAAAAAGAGTAATTCTTGAGGAAGGACATTTAAGTGGATTGAGTATCCATACCGGTGCTATGAAGAGGTACCAGGATTTGAGGAAATTGTTTTGGTGGCCAGGGATGAAGAAAGAAGTCGTTGAGTTTGTATATGATGGTTAGACTTGTCAGGAGTCGAAGATTGAACATCAGAGACTGTTGGGTCTGATACAACCGTTGAATATTTCAGAGTGGAAATGGGATAATATTTCCATGGATTTTGTGTCGGGTTTGCTGAAGACTGTGAGATGAATATGATTTGATTTGGGTGATTGTGGATAGATTGACTATATCAGCTCATTTCTTACCAATGAGGATTAGTCGTTCTATGCTGAAGCTAATTGTGATGTATATTGAGGAAGTTGCGAAGTTGTATAAGATACCGTCGAGTATTGTGTCTGATAGAGATTTGGGATCTTCATCGAGGTTTTGGGAGAGTTTGCAGACGCTTTGGGTA